AAAGGCGTAACTTTATCGGTAATATAATCGGTAGAAACGTCACTGAGAATATCGACTAAATCGACGACAGCAGCCGACGAGTGGACAGCTGCCGTCAAAATCGGTGACGAATACCGTCGACCGGTCAATCTCTTACGGCAAATCGCCTACCGCCGAAAGGTGGCGATAGCTGCAGTTGCCGCTCCCGTCATCTGCAAGCCACTCGTGTACATGAACAATTCTTACATTCAGCAGTAACACAAAGTAATTATTTTAAGTGGATCGAGAACAATAGGCTCTCCATGACATTTCATTCAAAACATTAAAGTCTTCTACGTGGCATCACCACTCATGAATATGGATTGCTGCCGGGTTTAAATCCTTTTCATAATTCATGGGATTTTAAGTTGAATAATACTCCATCTATTGTTCACGAGAGTTGGATGTTTTATATAATCGTCATCCTGTGACGTGGAATCGGACGATTTTATTATAACTTACTTAGCTTCTGATATCATTTTTTTCCAATTAATTGACTTTACATGTGTTTGCCGATGATCATACAAACTCTTTTGTAGATTTTGTTCACTTTCGAAGAGCAAATTATTCAAAATTTTAAAATCCATAACTGTGCTTTTAAGATGCACGTAATATTCCTAGCTGAAAGTACCAAATAATGCGACACAAAAAACAGTGACATCATTATCCAAATCAAAAGCCTATTATTGTCCCTAGAATACCGATCACCGATCTTCTCAATAGATGAAAAAGGCAAAAGGAGCCATCACGCAGGTACAGTGAGGATTGGTGAGTATGAAACCTGCAAATATGCAGTAGTATAGTATTAATTAATCCCACAGTCAAAACTTACATTTGCTTTTAGTACAGAAATGGTGGACCCCCAGTCTACCTGATCTGTAAAATTTGCTGCGTTTCGTATATTTATATAAAAAGGTGACAAACAAACATTTGGTCCGCCTGATGATAAGCAGCCACCGTAGCCTAGAGATGTTTGCGGTATCAAAGTATACAAAGTTGCTTCGCCTACCCCGTGAAGTTCTGAAAACTTCTTACTTACTGAGAGAAACACAACGGTATCAAAAGGTAGTATGTGTGTATGTGATATAGTATGTTCAAATATACAATAATAAATCATCATTTTTTGAGAGACCAGTGCAAACTAATTAAAAATTATTTCATGAAATAATATTACGCTGTGCAAATAGCAAATAAAGAGATCGTGTGGTTCGTCTGGGTTTTTGACCTCGGGACGTCACCTTCGTCTAACCTTTTATATGACCCTAAAGGTCTTAGCTCTTGTCTGTCTAAACAAAAATGTCAGCCTAAAGCACTTTACTGCTATAATTGCATCTATAAAAAAGGTATTCCAAATATAGAAGGTATTGGTGTCGATTCTGGCATGATTCTCTAAACTTAAAACTAATATTACATTAAGTAAAACTAGTTTTAACGAGTTAATGCACGAAACTTTATCTATTTATTGACGTTTCGCAGTCTTTTCAGGTCTGCATCGTCAGAATGATGATTTTTTATTTAATTTTGTCGAATTACCTTGGAAAGACTTTTATTGAGCGTACGGTTATTTTATTGGAAGATTTTTTAAATTTTTACTGTTTATGTATGAATGTATTAGTTAATTTAGTTAATAAAGCACTTTATTTAAAAATATTTTTTGTAATTTTGAGTTTATTTATTTGACCCTAACTACCGTAAACTACCACCGGTTCCAAAATTGGGAGACCTCTCTGAGAAGAACCGGCGAAACAAACTCAGAGAGGCTTTTTATCTCCTTCTTATGTTAAATCATACAAACAAAAAGAACTAATAGTATCTGTTGGTCTTGCAGTGTTAGTCTTACACTGACGATGCAGACCTGAAAAGGCTGCGAAACGTCAATAATTAAATAAACTTTCGTGCATTAACCCGTTAAAACTAGTTTTATTTAAAGAGTGATGTGCGTGAAAACCTCAGAAACAAATAATATTACATTAGTCTCTCTCTTTCATTATGTACAGGGAATGACAAGTATACAATGACTGTTGTCAAATTTAGTTTTAGGTTTAGAGAAACATGCCAGAATCGACACCATTATCGTTTTTTTTGGTGGTTTAAAAATGGAATAAAAAGAAGTACTACTTGAGAAAAAAACTAGTTTTGGTTAAATAAAATAAAACAAGTTTAAACGGTTAGATGCACTAAGTTTATTTATATAGTTTTGGTTATATTTTATTAAATAGGGATAATGGCCAACTTCTTTTCTTCATCTATCAGGTATATTAACAAAAAGAATATGACACGTATTTTTTCTTCTTCACATTATCTTAATATTATAGAAATATATTGATTTGAAATGTCGCATGACGTCTAGTCTTGCTATATTTTTAAGTAGAAGTGACGTCACGAGCCCCAACTCCCAAACTTGTTAAAAATCTTCGTAATTTTTTGGTAAAAATAGGTGTCGATTATTTTTTGATAATGTACTAAACTGACGGACTAAATACAATTCCGTTTACTTTAACCCATCATCATACAGATAACCTGTATAATACATTATTTTAAGTACAACTTTTCTATCTAGACTGCAACTCTGTCATCGACCGCTTTATTATCTAGAGCTATAACTATAAGTTGTCAATATTCGATTCTGTTCTAATTCATTCAACTGATTCATTGATTATTTTACCCCAGGTTTGAATAACGATTAACTTCGGTAACTTTCATAAAGAGTATCAATATCGTCATTACGTTAATGTTTTTTGTTTTCCTTAATCGGAATATTTAAAATGTTTGGTTGGATTTTCTTTTAATGTTACCCTATAGATAAGTAACATAACATAGATTAATGGGCCCGATTCTGGCATGATTCTCGAAATCCATTTTTTAAAACAACGTATCCTTACCATGCCAATGTTTACAGAATAAAAAGGGGAAGACTTTTGTAAAACGTAGTTTTAAGGTACAATTCTGCAATGGGCTGCAGGCGAGAACCGCATGCGACACTGCGGCTGGCGCCTACGGATGACCGTGCATTATATATGCATTGTGCAGCCGCAGCATGTCGCCGCGCTCGGAATAAATTTCATAGAGATTTATAGAAACTAGTAGTGTCGCCTGCAGTCTGCAGCTGCGGCCTGTGGTCTGCGGTTCAGTTCGGACTTGTACCTTTAGGTTTGAGCCCATTCTTCATTTCCATTTTTTGATTCTGGTATGATTCTCTAAAAAACCGCCTGCACACAAAATCAGCACCGCACTTACTTAACAGAATATTGAAAAAAGATCGTTCTAAGGTGGGTCGCACACCAGACATACAATAATTGTATTACTATAATTATGACGCAAAATTTGAAATGCCACACATAACGCATGAGGGGGTTGACTGCGTGTAAGCACGCACAGCAAAGAGACATTTGTAGCGGGTGCATTTAGTATCGAGACGAAAGTAAAAATGTAGCGTACCTGTTGTGGCAAGATAAATGTTGCGTGCATGTACCCTGTGAATCCGGTGTGCGGCCACTTTTATTCAATAGATATTAGTTACGTTTTGCTATTTGCATTTGAAACCAATTGAAAGAGAGCGAACTCGTCATGTTCAAATACTTGACTACTGAGTAAATCGATTTTACTATTAGTTCAAACTAATGAGATCCCCTTTTACGCAAACTTAAAATTTTTGTTATAGGATATTTTCTTCTAATCCGCAGCTATCATGCATGCGTCCTTATTACAAAGTAGACTAACTTAATCAAAATAATGTAGATAATTTTGTCGTCATTAAATTAATCTTCTTTCTTCGTTAAAATCTTATCGCAAGCATCTATCTATATAGGCCACGGTGGCCGGTTACCATCAGGTGGATAATTCTGTGTGTTAATAAGCTCGTTTTTCTCGTTAATAAGTTTGTTTAACCTGATCTTTTTGTTTTCGCCGTAAAATAAATGTTCAGCTTTCAATGATAGTAGTCGGATCGTATTCTAGACTACTGAATTTATACCGTGTTAGTTTTAATTGAAATGCTATACGAGATCTTATAATAAAAAAATAATAGCCCTACTTAACAATGAATGTGAAAGTAACAATGTGAAAATTACATGGTGTTGGTTAATAAATTCTATTATACATTTGACTAAAGTAACATTAATATACTTTAGTAAAGAGACAAACGATTTTATCGATGAAAATAATCTAAATCAATTGAGATTTCACTTCTTTTTCTGTTATATTTTCTGCTTACCTTAAACGATAAAATTCTACGTGGTATTATCGAACAGGTATGTATTTATTTCATTATCGCGTACAAGTAAAATAAATTACTAAGGGAACTCAAGACATAAGCTTTCCCTTTTTTGGAAGATGTTCAGCCCTTAAGCCTCTTCACTGGCTCTTCGGATGTTATAACGACTACAATCTTGCGATAGAACAGGGGGAATGGCTTAACGTGTCTGCCGTAGTCAATAAATGCTGTGTTATTAGGCTTCCCCGATAAATGTTCAATATTACTGATTGATACAAATGGTTGGAAAGGTCTGTGTCAATCAAATTAAATGAATTGGATTAGGACTTATTTTATGATCACATTCATATATCAGCTATTTGATGATGTTTCATGAGATTTTTAAATTTTATACCTTTCCAATTACATAGTTATATTAAAATGTGAAAGTTTGTATGTTCGCAAAAGCTATTGAACAGATTTGGATAAAATTTGGTACGCATATAGTTTATAAACTGAATTGAGAAATAGATTACTTTTTATTCCGGAAATTTGTTCCTGTGGAAAATTTCTCATAAAACTAAAGTGCGGCCGCTAGTACATTTATTTTCATTTCAATTATACTTTGTAAACATGGGCTCGTTCTAAAAGAGGTAAAGAAACTAACGATATAGTAATATGCTCATATATTTTCTTTAAATTTTCAATCCAGTTCACTGTAAGGAAAATGTTGATAATTTCATTGAAGAAAACAAATTGATTTCAAAGTAATAAATACTTTATATCTTACCTTTTAAAACTTTCATTTTGCAGATCCGGTGATTCCTCCAGCGAAGCAGTCACAAGGGCATCATATTCGCAAGTTTATATTTACAACTAATTTATATCTAAAATATATCCTTGAGTCGATGTTCGCATTTCCCACATCATGTCTCTCGGAAGTCAACGAAATTATACTGGTATACCATTTCAGCAATCAAAACGCATGTTTTTCCGCTTAATTACAATGTTTTTTCACTAATCTTGCTCACTCATCTTAAATCCAGCGCTAATTAGTAAAAGGGCACTCTTTTGCGGTAAATGTCAAGAGAGAGTGCAACGGAAACAAGGTGGAAACGCTAGCGCGGGAAATTGTGTCAAGGTTACCTTAGCTGGCACTTGAATGACAGCGCGTCGAACACTGCAATCAAACCGCACTAACCACCTTAAATAAAACTCACGGTTTATTTAAAACTCTTTCCCGATTCTGTCAATATATTTTAATTCGTCAACTAAACTTAACCTATGCACAACACTATTACGCCAACGTCAAAAATCGAACACATCGATACGAGCGACACGCTCACCCCCGTCACCACTTTCAAACTATTCCATTTTCAAATTTTTGACGTCCCGTTCGCGATGTGGCGATTCCCGCGCTGCAACATCCCTCCTCTGAGCTCCAATCGACTGGAACTGCCGGCAGAGGCCGCCGCTCGCAAAATTGGCGCAATTTCAACGCATGCGCCTTGTATTTGAGATCCGGCGGGACTCGATCTGACCCGACGCCCCTCGCTTGATAGAAAAATCGAGGACATAACGTGACGTCAAACTTGTACACAAATGTATGGAGAAACTGAGCGAAACAAAAACATCTCAGAAGCCCAAAGAACATATTCTGCTAGTGTTACCTGACTCGAAGGTTACCAAAAGTAGAGTCATAGAATCATTAAAGGGTGGTGTTGAAAAGGTAAATTATTATTGTTCATCTCTATCTCGCATCCTTATCATTCCTTTAGCTGTTTCCATTATTCTCGCGAGGAAAAAATACAAATCTCTTTTCTTAATCCCAACGGTGGCGGTGGGAGATTGTTTTGAATATTCGTCCGGTGTAGGCTCACACCAGTTTGAATTTACGCTTCTCGCACGCGAAATTTCACTGGCTTTCTTTTGTTTCATATAAATGGCGCTCTGGGGATAAGGGAGGTGTTTTTATATTATGGCTAGGACTGAGGCGTTGAAGTGTACACCAAGCTGTTGCTATTTTTAGACGCGGATTGTTATCAAACCGCAAAAGTATTGAAGACTCCGATTTCATATATTTTTCTTTCTGATAATATACGGTATCATTATATATTTAGGTTTTTAAAGTTAAACTTTTATCACATCGCCACTTTTTTTATTTAGTTCATCTTTAGCACGTCGCAAAACATTTTTAATTGTTGATAAGATCATTTAAAAAGTAGCGGTGGTTCAGTAGTAGAAAGCTCGCCTGCCGCGCTAGCGACACGTCTTCGATTCCCAGCCCAGGAAGGACTTTTATTCTAAAAAAATCAAGATGACATAAAACACTTTCAATGTTTCACTTGCATCGTGGTTTCATAAAAATTTTCATTTTTCATTTATTAAAAATAGGTTTACAATTGAACTGAGTTCCTAAATCTTAAAATTTTGTAAATTTTTTTTTTTTTTTTTTTTTTTTGTTTCCTCCCAGGCGGGGGAGAGGGTGAGAAATCCTCATGGATACCCTACAGCCGGCTGTAGGGTTATGTCAGACTCCTACTGACTAAAAAACACCCTTTATTCATGCTTATGGCCAGAAGGGCCTTACAAGCTTCATCTGAAGCGGTCACCCCCCGAGAGGGGGATGATGCGGCGCTGCGTTAGTTTAAACTAGTGCATAGTTTAAAATAACGCAAAATGCGCTTAGAGGACAAGTGCACTCAGATGTGCACTTGAAACGGGAGGGGACTGAGAGGAATCGAACCTCTCTGTGTCGGGGGGGCGGGGGGGACTCATCGCGGGTGTTGGATCCTCAGCGGCCAAGAGGGCCGCGAGATCGCGCGTGAGTTTATTGTGTGTGACTGTGAGTGCGTGTTTGGGCCTGCGGGGCCTGAATCGAGATGGAGTGTGTGGAGCGTATCCCGACGCCGATCTAATGAGTGTGTTAGAGTGCTCTTCTGCAGCTTTGAAGAACCGTTCCGAGCACTCTGTGAGGTGTGTTTGAATTGTGTCTAGTTGAAGGTCCCTGTGGAGGTCCGCGTTGCGGACGTACCACGGGGCCCCTGTGGCTATGCGGCAGAAGCGATTTTGAAGCACTTGAAGTTTGTTCAAAATCGCTTCGTCCGCGTGTGCGAACACTGGTGACGCGTAAGTGAGGACCGGGCGTATGCAAACTTTGAAAAGCGTTCGCTTGTTACGAAGTGACATTTTGCTGTATTTACCGAGCATCGGGTGGAGGCGGCTCATATAAAAGCGCGCGTTCGCGACTACGCGTGTGATGTGTGCACGGAAGGTGAGTTTTTTGTCTAGTGTGATCCCTAGGTATTTGACTGTGCGGTGCCACGGTATTGCTATGCCTTGCATTCGCAGAGACCGCGCACCGTGTTGTATGGTTTTGGTGCGGCGCTTGGGATCGAAGCAAATGGCCGAACTTTTGTCCGGATTTACGTCGATTCTCCAATCGCGGAACCAATTCCCAAGTGTTGTGATTGCCGGTTGGAGCTTGGCTATGATTTGATTGGTACTGGCTCCCCTAGAGTAGAGGGCCGTGTCGTCCGCGAAGAGAGCGAGCTCGACACCCTTGGTCTGAGGGATGTCATTGGTGTACGCTGTGTATAGCAGGGGGGAGAGAGCGGACCCCTGCGGTACACCGGCTCGTAGTGGGCGGGGCGTTGATAGTGAACCTTCGTATCTATAGCGGAAGGTGCGGTTTGATAGAAAAGAGGCTACTAACCTAACTAGGCGGTCAGGTAACTCTAATTGATATAATTTAAAGATTAATCCGTCGTGCCAAACCTTGTCGAAGGCTTTGGCGACGTCGAAGAAGACTGCAATAGTTTTATATTTATTAAGTTGGAAGCCGCTTAGGGCGTGCTCCACTATGCGATGGATCTGTTGGGGGCAGGAGTGTTTGGCTCTGAAGCCGAATTGGTGGTCAATGATAATAGGATCGGATGGTGATAGGAGGTGCTCTCTTAGTCTGGTCAGTATGGTTTTTTCGAAAAGTTTCGCCATTGCCTTGAGGAGGCTAATAGGGCGATGGCTACTGGGGAGGTGCGCGGGTTTTCCGGGTTTGGGGATGCCTATCACTATTGCTTCTTTCCAGGCGGCTGGGAAGTAGCACAGATCAAAACATGCGTTAAAGAGAATTGCAAGCAAGGTTAGCATTTGGATGGGAAAATGCTTGAGCGCCTTGTTAGAGATGCCGTCGGCGCCCGGGGCCTTGCTTTGCTTAAAGTTACTAATGGTCTGTCTGAGTTCGTCTGTCGTGACGGGGTCTAGGGGGTTGTCAATGAGTGGAAGGGCGGCCCGCCGGCGGACCTCCTCCTCCACTCCGCGAATATGTTGCGGGTTAGTTTCCTGCGTACTAGGCGTGCATTGCGCCGCTATGCTGTCTGCAAAACACTCAGATTTTTCGTCGTCTTCGAAGGCGACGGTGCCGTCGGGGCGAGTGAGCGGGGGGGTGTGAGTGGTGACGTCGCTACGGAGCGCTTTCGCGATTCTATAGTACGCAAGATGGGATGGGGTAATGTCCGCCATGAGTTCCTCCCAACGGGAGTATCTCAGAGCGGCTAATTGGGACCTAACTTGTCGCTGAAGGCGATTAGCTGTAGCCCTATACTCGGGGGTGGGGTATAATTTGGCTCTCCGGAGAGCGGCGTTTTTGGCTTGGATTAGGTTCCGGATGGCCAGCGGGAGCTTGGGCTTTGGCAGCTCAACCTCCCGCGAGTTCTCCTTCGCCTTCTCGGTCACCAGTAAAGTTAAAGACTCTATAGTTTCGTCAATCTTGTCGGTGCTGTCGAGACTGTCCGGTGAGTTAGGGAACGGGGACTCGGGGGAGTCTAAAGCGGTCTCGAGAGCGGAGCGGTATCCGTCCCAGTTGGTGAATAGCCTCTTAGGGGGCGCGGGGGCGTCTAGTGGGTCTTGGGGACCTAGAACTAGAGACACCGGTCTGTGATCTGACCCCAGGTCGTCGAGTGTTTCGATCGAGCTGAGGCGAAGCGACACGTTTTTAAGGATCGCGAAGTCCAGGACGTCGGGTCGGTTTTGTACATTGTCTGGGTAGTGGGTGGGCGCGTAGGGACATATGACATCATAGCCAAGCTCCTCGGTGATGTGTAGTAATCTGCGGCCAGAGGTGGTGGTGGTCTCGCATGTCCAGTCGGTGTGTTTGGAGTTAAAGTCACCGAACATTATGACTGATGTACCTAGTGAAGTGAGTGTTTCGAAGTCTGCGCGGTGAGGGTGTGTACCTGATCTAATGTAGACTGAGGCGATGATTAAGGACTGGTGTCCTGTCATCGCCAGCCTACAGATGGTGGCTTCCATGTTTGTGAGCGCGGGAGTGGGTATAGGTGTGCAGTGTAAATTGCGTCTATAGTAAATTGCGGTGCCGCCGCGCGCGTTGGCACCGTCGTTCCGGATTAATTTATACTTAGGGATCGACAGCCCCTTCATTTGAGTTGGTTTGAGCCAAGTCTCCTGAAGGAGCAGAAAGTCGGGTTCCCTATCTTGCAAAAATAATTTAATTTCGTTGAGGTTGGATTTTAAGCTGCGCGTATTAAATGACACAAGCGAAGCGCCTTTCGGCTTGGTACGCCCGGGGTTTAGTTGTGTGATTGTTATGTTAGTGTTTTGCGCGGTCATAATTTAAACAACAGTGGTGTTTGTTTGAGTTATCACCGCGTGTTTTGTGTATAGTGTTTTTGTTTGTGTTCGGAGTCTGGTTATTTTCCAGTGTTATAATGATTGAAAAATTAATCGAACGCGGCAACGAGTTCGGGGTGTTCGGCTATAGCTATAGCCTTTTCAAGAGGTGTCTTTGCTAGCCGGAGCTTCGCGGCGAGAGTGTGGATCTCGGCGATATTCACCCTCTTGAGCGAGGAGCGAATAAGCGCCATGTCCTCGGCCAGAGAGACGTCTTGGGCTGGCTTAGCTTGTGTTGTTGGTGTGGTGTGTTGTGGTGGGTGTGGTTTTGGGCGGGCCCTGGCTGGTCCCCAGGCTGTCGGGGGCGCCGGGCTGCGAGGGGCGGCCGCCTTGGGTAGCCCCGGGAAGTTTGTGGTGGTGTTATTAGGTGGTGGTGGGTGTATTTTTGTCGCCGTGGTTGGCTTTGTGTGTGTGTGAGTGTGAGTGTTGGGCCTGGGGCGTGGGGCCCGCGGGCAACCCCTGTAATTGGCCGGGTGGCCTTCTTGGCCACAGAGCACGCATGCGGGTGCCCCGGGTGCGTCACGAGTGCGGGTGCACTCCTTGGTGAGGTGGGGTACGAGGCACTTGACGCACCTCGGGGCCGCCGAGCAGTTGGCTGCTGCGTGGCCATATAATTGGCACCTGTGGCATTGCCCAGGGGTGCCTCGCCGGTGAGGGGCCTCGACTTTGATATTGTCGAGGCCACAGACTGTAATGGGACCTTTGAAAATGTCCCTAGCTGCCGGGACCGAGGTCAAAATGACAAGAGCCAACGGGTATTGCTTCCCAGTCCGGCTGTGCAACTTGTGCACTGCCTCGGCTGGGAAGCCTTGATCGGTTAGGTCGTTTA